GTCATTGCGCGGGCCCTTTTTGAAGATGGGGACAACAATCGATTCCCCCCACGAGGAGTGGAGTTGCCCAGTGTTCCACACTTTGGAGAACAGGACGTGGAGTTCTCTAACAAGCTTTATTTCACCATCTTTAAATAGAGCAGTGGGAAGCCCAACGGTTCCCGGCGCTTTGTGACGACCCAAGGCTTGGATCTCCCTACGGATTTCCTCCTCAGAAGGCGGATCCGTTGTGACAGACAATGGGACGTTTGCCGGGATAGCTTTGTGAAGAGCTGACGCTGGTGGCCAGCTAAACTGTTCTTTGAAGTGCTCCGCCCAGCGTTCAAGGCGTCGCTGTTGATTATGAATGGGCAAACCGTCAGCTTCGCAGATTGTTTCGCTCACATCTAAGGCTTTCCTACTGGTGACCCGGATGAGATGAAACAGCTTACGGGAATTCCCCATGGCGACAGGACGTTCCATCTCGGACTTGCGTGTAGTCCACTTGATCTCGCGGTCCCTGCGTAGGCTTACGTTGAGGTTACGACTCNTATTTCATTATGCTCGCTGCCGGTCGGGATTGATCGGCGTGCGTCGAGAAGACGTAGAGATTCCGCAGAAGTCCAGGGTGTCACGGAACGACCTGTCAGACCACAACTTACTGAGCCGTCAGAATGCGGAGCATTGTTGTATAGCGACCAGTGCTGGTTAACGACATCGAGTGGGGTTGATTCTAGCTTTTCAGCTAGCGCGTTCTAAAAGACAGTTAGACGTGCTGGTTCAGACAACTGGTCATAGTCTAACCGTCTATGTGCCAAGCATTTGGAACGCCCACCGAAGCACACGGATAGCTTGGCGCAAACTAACGCATGGTCGGATTCGATCGGCAGTCTTGTATACAACCCCACTATTTGTAGTTTGTAGTGATGTGGTCGATCTGCGTCCGTCTCTGACTCGAGGAGGGCGGACGCCAAGTGGCGTACCAGCAGTTAGATCGTCTGAAGTTCGTACTGCGGGGAATATGCGGTAGTCGGAACAACCTTCCCCGTTTTCCGAACGACAGGAATCTAGTCCGAAAGGATCACCCAGATGCGCCTCACTCGAAGTCAGTCAGACTACTCTAGCATTCATATCTCCTGCTAAAAGCACGTTATCAGCCCGACTCGCTTTACGTAAGAGGTGGCGTAGGCTATGATAAAATTCATCTTTGACTGCATCTGGGCTACAGTCTGTTGAGGCGTACGCTGACACGACAGACAGGTTTCGTCTTTCGGGGCGACGGCTGTTTACTTTGCAAGAACCTCTAAGTCTCACTGCGCACAACCTACTGTCGACTGGGATCCAGTCCAGGAGCGCGGCTTCAGCTCTCTCACTGAGAGTCACACCAACGCCAGAAAGACAGGAAGCTGCAGCCTCAGGGTCCCCAAAGAGGCGTAAGTGAAACTTCACTGATGGGTTTGATGGGGACTTCCATCAGATAATGGAGCTGGAGTCTTCAATGCGAGTCTCTTGGATACAACATATATCGATGGCTAGGGTCTCCAGCGTACGAGCTAACCCGGCCTGTTGTCCTATTTGCATCAGAGTGCGCACATTAAATTTGGTTAGTTTGAAAGGACATCAAGGGCGAAGGAGGGCTTCAGGTGGTGTAGGAGTCGGTGAGACGTGGACGGTAGTCTGGGTAAGACATGAGGGAACAGCGTCAGAGTTTCCATCTGAGGCACTAGTGTTTGCACGATCGTCTGAGGATCCCAAGAAAACGGGTGGGAGACGGGGGTGGATGTGGAATGGGGGAGGACTGGGAGGATATGAGTGTATGAACGGTGTAGAGTGTTTGCCTCTAGTTGCAGAACTAATAGACTGGATGCACGCAAAAGTCGAAGAGATCATCGTTTTTGGCGTTGTGGGCTGTTGTACTACTCGGTCNCTCTAGCCTTTGCGCAACCAAGCGCGGACTGCAAGGCAGTAGCGATATTCCAGATGAGCCGGTGGCCAGCAGTTGGTTCATTCGCCTCTTCTGGAAAGCCTTGTCGAGCAATGGATCTTGACAAGGAGCAATGACCATATTTAGTGGGCGATAACACCCGCCACGTCACAGCGCTGTCCGCAGATATATCTGGCGTTTTGTACGGAGAACCCTTGCCAGGGGTAAACCCACCACATCCTCGAGCACTGCCGCTGATCGTCCGCCACCGCTTATTTGGAGGGCCGAGGCCCATCTTATTCACGGTTAGCCGTGATATGACGGCCGTTCCCCTATCCACGACCTGGGGACGCGCTCGGTAGCATACAGCTCTGCTCTCTCGTAAATAATATAAGACTCAGTAACTCACAAATTGGTATTTTGAAGTGAATGAGCATCAAACGATTCTAGGGTCTCCAATGGTAACTTTGCGGTTATTGGGGAACTCTTGATTGTGAACAGCCTTCATGTGTATTCAGTTCGTTCAACTGCCTTTGCATTCAATTCACAGTCGGTGGAATACACAGTGAATGTTTCACTATTTTGGATCAAGTTGTTTTAGGCATTAGAATGCTTGCCAGTTCCAGGTGAATCAACCGACCTTCGGAGTTTTCGAGGATCGGGAAAATGAGCAACGAGCACCCGCAGCGATTTGATCATGCCTTGTGCATGTCTCACGGGCTTCGTGAAATATACACCCATTATTATTATTATTAGCTTAAAAAGAAAATGAAAATGGAATGCAAATATATGAAGATTTACTCACAGTGGAATGGATTCGCTGATTTTGGCTCA